GCATATTTGTGTGCATGACGCGTGACATTTGTGTTAGTTCGATCTGGTTGCGATGATCGCATTTTTGTGTGAGCAATAATACTATTTTTTGCTTAATTTCTTTTTCTTTGCGATAAATTTTGTTTCGTCCGATTTAGATCTGGTTGCGATGAGCGCATTTCTGCGTTAGCAACATTGTTGGGTTATTTGGCACATTTAAAATTCATTATTGCTTTATTATTATTATTATTATTATTATTATTATTATTATTATTATTATTATTATTATTATTATTATTATTATTATTATTATTATTATTATTATCATTATTTATTATTATTATCATTATTATCATTATTATTACCATTATTATTATTATTGTTATCATTAATTTATTAAAATTTGTTATAATATAAAAATCTGTTTTTTAAAATAAATAACATTAACATCTTTTCCAAATTAATATGAAAACCTATTATTTTTAAGAAAAACTTTTTTTTAGATAAATTTAAAATAATAACTAAAATCTTTTTTTTAAAATAATAACTAGAACCGTTATTTATTTTATTTTATTATTGTTCAATTCAAATTTCATTATCATATTGTATCTGCTCCTCTCATGTAACCTCGCGAACTTAACAATCGCTCTTTAAATTCTGCCTGTAAATTTCTGCTTGCATGGTTTAAATTATGACATTATCTCTCTGTTTGCATGATTCAATTATCTCACGCGTTTACTATTATTTCTGTCACATTGCACACATCCGAAGGTTAGGTCTAACTGTTTGGCCGCCGCGCCAATAGTCCGTAAAACTTCACACATTCAATTTCAAATCCTCAAAACTACAAACTACAAACCCTAATTTTCACAAATGCCTCGCCGCAGGCAAAATTACAATTTTACCCTTAGCATTAGGTCAAAGAGCCGCCACGCTCATTTTAGGGTTTCCCGCCGTGGAATCCCTAATTTAACCCTAATTACAACTTAACATTTCAACGTAGAGATTTGGAGTTTCTACACTCCACGTAAGCGTGTCCTTAAGATGCGTTTATTCCCCTTGAGACCTTGACCACAGTCAAGAAGTTTCTAACCTCCCTATTGAGGGGAACTACGATTACTCTGATTCCACTCCCGTAAGGATACGTAGGCACAAGATGCGATGTCTTGCCGAGTAAACTTAGAATTAACCCCCTTTATTATTTATTATTGCTTATTTATATTTTATTTATCTTTGCTATTTAATTATTTTGCTTATTATTTTGTAATTGTTTCTTGGATGTAAAGTTGTTTAATTATTTAATTATTATTATGGTTAGTAATTAGGGAGTGTAACAACCTGTATGTAATATTAAAATAAATTTAGATCACTTTTAAATAAAGATAATTAAAATAAACACGTCACACACGTAAGTCGATTTTAATCGCCGTCTCACTTCCTAAGGATATCCCTCAAGTTGCCTACGAATAATGGTTAAGTGGGGTGTATAAAGCAAGTCCCTCAAATAGAAAAATCATCAAAGTCCCTTATGGTTGCCTTTACGAATCGAGTCCCTTTCGAAAAATGATGATGGTCCCTTATATGTGCTTATTACATCCCACAATGGCCTTCAAAGTCAAATTGTCCCTCACATACCCCTTAACATCCAAAGTAAGGACTACCTACTCCATTATAGTAGGGATAGTCTTACTAAGGAAAGGATAAAGAATAAGAAAGACCTTAAAACATTAGGGTAGGCTACTCCTAGATACTTGCTCACTTCAAAACTTTTTCACACTTAAACAAATTTCCAACAAAATTTTCAAACAAGTTTTTTTCACATCCATACACGGATTATTATTAACTATTCTGAAAATTTTCTATTCACACACTACACTTTCAAAACAATTCAAAAGTGAGCTTAAGTACCTAAGAGCCCATGGATAACCATGGATGAAAAGGGTGCTAACACCTTCCCTTTTCATAACCTACCCCCCGGACCCAAAATATTCTCTAAGGTCTTTCCTGTTCTTTTATAACCTTTCCTTATGGATAAAATAAAAGTCGGTGGCGACTCTTGCTATCCGCAACATTGTTTAAAGTCAGTTCTCCCACCGTGTTACAGATACCTCTCATTATTTATTATGTTAAATGCATGATTTAATATAATTACCAACGTCGCGAAACCTACAAGGTTACATGCATAAGGACAGATTGATAAGAGATAGAGTAAATAAGAAACACCGTAAGGTATGATGCACTTAAGAAAATGTAGAACACCATAAGGTACGATGTACTTAAGTAGAATATGAAATATGGTAAGGTACTACGCGCTTAAGTGATATATGGTACATCATAAGATATGGTGTGCATGCACTTAAGTGGGTTTTTTTTATCTTGTATCCCATACAAGTGGATATATAAATAGAACCCTTGTGCAGAAACATTCATCTTGATGAAAATTTGGACCGTGAAACCCTAACTGTATTTTCCTTCTCTCTCATTCAAAGCCTTCAATTGTAGCAGCTAGCACTGAGACTGAAGAAATTTGTTCGTGTGGACTAAGTATATGTGTTGTTCATCGTTCAACGCTCGTGATCACTCCTTTGATTCAACATCAAAGGTTTCATCGCCACAAGAGGTAATTGTTTCTATCATTGACATGACCATTCGTAAGGATCACTAAAGAGAATTTTTTAATTTTTTATGCATTTTAGATCATGATTTCCCTTCAAAATATTCATCGTCTAAAGATGATGCATAATGCCTATCATGTTATCTTTTTAGAAGAAAAAAATCATGCAGATGTCTCAAATCACATGCCTTTATTTCTAAGGGTTTTAATAGTTGGGAAAAATTTAGAAATGGAAAATATTTCTTATTTCTTAAACACATAGGAAAAACCTTGCTCACCATACAACAAAGCAATGCAAGCCTGTCAATACTTGTTAAATCAAGATGGTTATATAAGTAATGTTATCCAAGTGAAAATTTACGAGTCACGAATGAATAATAAACTATGTCTCAAGACTTCAATTGACACTGTTCGTTGATTAACACTTCAAGCTTGTAATTTTAGGGTAACTATGAAACTAGCAATTTAAGAAATTAAGGAATTCCCCTTGAGTTGTTAAAACACTAAGCATCTTACAACAATGAAATTTCAAAATTTGTGTGGGAAAATGCTCCCCAAAAATTTCAAGTATACTTCCCATCAAATTCAAACAGAGCTCTTGCAAATTATTTGTAGTTGGGTGAAAGAACATATTCGTGAGGAAAGTGGTTATGCCAAAATTTGTTTCATTGTAGATGAAGCCCGTGATATGTCAAAATAGGAATAAATCACTCTTGTATTAAGATTTGTTGATGAAGTTGGTTTAATACAAAAGTAGTTTCTTTGATGTGGCACATGTTAATGACATCGCATTTTTAACTTTTAAGAAAGTAGTATGTGGTATACTTTCTCGACATAACCTTGATGTTTCTAATATTCAGGGAAACTGGTATGGTGGTGCTAGAAATATGTCGGGAGGATGGAATGGTTTGCACACACTCTTTATGGAGGATTATTCTTGTGCATAACTTGCATTGATTATTGTATCAAGAGAAGTCAAACCAACTCACAAACTCTTTAAAAATTCTACTTTTGTTGTCAATGTTGTTTGTTATTCTACTAAGAGTCACAATGAGTTACAAGCTTCTCAATTGGAAGAAATTGCATATTTGTTAAAGATTGTTGACCCTGTAACTTGTAATGATGCAAATCAAGTTGACACTTTGAAACGAGGTGGAGATACCCCTTGATGATCATATTTCAATTCAATATGTAACTTTTGATAAACATGTATAGAGCAACATGTTTATTTTTTAAAAATTTCAAAAGAAGGAGAAAATTATGATATACATGGGGATGTTGATAGTTCTTACAATTAGTTAAATGTATTTGAAGTGTTGATATTTTAAAACGTTTTTGATTCAATTCAATATGATGTTGTTATTTTAACAAGTTTCTAATTCAATTTCACATTAGTCTTCCTCCTCACACACTGACTTAAGCGTTGGAGTGTTAACCTTACATGTCTCCATACTACACTAAATCAGGAGCTTTGATCCACTGTCACCACTGCTTCTCAAGTCATTTATAATTCTTGAATGGTACAATAACGATTAATTTATATCTTAACTTTACCTTGAAATAAAAAATAAATGTTGTCATCATAAATTAAATTTTAAGAAAATAAACATGTCAAATTATAAGTTATAATAATTTTAAATGGTACACATTTTAGTTATTTATTTTTTTAGAATTTATTAAGCATGTATATGGATAAAAATAACTTTATATTTAAAAATATATTATGCTATATAATTTTTAAAATTTTAAAATATATAGTTATGAAATAGAGGTGCGCGTGACCGCTATGAAGGATATACCTGACATTGTTTGAGGTCGTCATAATGGTAATATCGATCAATATTGTAGATTTTTTTACCATAAGGATTGCTGGAGGAAAAGTTGTATGGTTGAAAAACCAAACTTGCTTGCTACTATATGTGATGTCTTGTGTTGTGAGTGAAATAAAATTAATGGTAAAATATTGTGAGTGAAATCAAATGAATTACAAAGTACTGTTGAAAAACCAACTCTCTTGCTTGCTATTGTTTGTTCCATGCGTGAGTTTTCAAAAGGAGAGTGATAAGATAATGTGACTATGTGAATGTGAGTTTGAAATATACTCTATTTTGTTTTTATTATTTTCACTAAAATATTAGTTTTGTTGCTTTCACTAACATTGACTTTTGGCTTTTGTCTATTGTAAAATATTGGTTTTTGTTCACGGTGAGTGTTTTGTTTCTTTGACTCTAACATTGGTTTTGTTTCTTTAATTATAATATTTGGTTTTGTCCATTATGAGTGTGCTAATGTGAAGTTCTTTGACTACAATATGGGCTAAAATTTGTTTATATTAAATCTATGTCTTTTAATTAAATTTAATTAGTTTTGTTAACTATGTTGGTCGTTTTATTTTTGGTAAGATATAATGCAGAAATTTTTTAAACAAAAATTACCATCAGAAGAACAAGATTCTATTTCTCAACAACAACATATTAAGTTTAATTTGAAAGAGTTGCCATCAGATCTTGGAAAGCAACCTAAAATGTCAGCATATCATTCAAATGATCAAGAATACGCATAACATATTTACAAAGAGGATCATACCAGCCTACTCAGCACAATTTTTCCCAAACAAGAATTGGAAATTTAATGAGAAAATTTTGTTCCTCTAGGTTTAATGAATTAAGAAATTGATTAGAGTATAGTATAGGAAAAAATGTCGCATTTTGTTTATGTTGTTATCTTTTTAAACCTGATTTTAGAACGCAATTAGGTGATGATACATTTGTAACACAAGGATTCACAAGTTGGAATAAAAAAGCTAAACTCTCATCACATGTTGGAGGCCCTAATTGTGCTTATAAAATTTCTTGGAAAAATGTGAAGATTTGATTAATCAAAAACAACATATTGATGTGCTGATATCTAGCAATCTTAAAAAACATGTGACATATATTGGAGGCGGTTAATAGCTTCACTTGAATGTCTTTGCTATTTATTGAATCAAGGATTGACTTTTCGTGGTCATAATGCATCCATTGAATCTTATAATTAAGGAAACTTCCTTGAAATTCTTTGATGGTATGATGACAACAAAAATAAAGTGAGACAAGTTGTACTAGAAAATGCTCCTCAAAATATAAAAATGACTTCTCCATCAATTTAAAGAGATATTATTAAAGTTGTTGTCTTAAGCAATTATAATTGATCTTGGAGATGAATTTTTTTCTATTCTTGTAAAAGGAATGACATGCTACATGAAAGACAAGTGATTAAGGTTCATGATACATTGGAAAATGGAGAAATCGTTAGTGGAAAATGTTTGAATCAAGATACTAGTCTCAAGTGACCTGATGATACACGTTGGAGTTCTCACTATGCAACTTTGGTGAATTTAATATTGATGTATAGTTCTGTTACCTAAGTTCTTGAAATGTTGAAAGAAAATGTATCCGCTAAAGATGCAAGAGCCGAAGTTAATGGTCTTTTACTTTTAATGGATTTTTTGAATTTGCATTAACTTTGCACTTGATGAAAAAATGTCATAGGTATTTGAAATGAGTTGAAACAAGCATTGCAAAAGAAAGATTAAAATATTTTCAATGCTTTGAAATTGGTTGACATCACAAAGAAATGAGTGCAAACTCTAAGAGATGATGGATGAGAACCTTTATGGAGGAGGTAAGTTTATTTTGCATTAAGCATGATATTCACACTCCGAATATGGATTATATATTTTTCATGAAAAATTACAACGTAGAGGTAATGCTTAATCTATCACAATAATGAATCATTATCGCATTGAATTATTTTATACTGTTGTGGACATGCAGCTTCAAAAACTTAACAATTATTTTAATGAGACAAATATTCAGTTGCTTATTTGTATGATTTGTTTGTGTCCAAGTAATTTGTTCTCTACTTTTGACAAGACAAAGTTAATTGAGTTTGCAAAATTTTATCCAAGTGAATTTTGTCTAACTATTTTTTTATACTTGATTATTAACTTTAGACTTACATCATTGATATGCGTGCGAGTGTTAAATTTGCATCTTTGAAAGGAATAAGTGATCTTGCAAAAAAAATTAATGAAACTAAAAGACACAGTGTTTATCTGTTATTCTACAAGCTTTTGAAGTTATCATTGATTTTACCTGCCGCTACAACAACCGTTGAACGATCATTTTCTACTATGAAGATTTTGAAGACTAGATTGCGTAATCAAATAGGGGATGAATGGATGAACAATTGTCTTGTGACTTATATTGAGAAAGACGTGTCCTGTAAAATTGATAATGAGTTAATTATTCAACAATTTCATAACATGGAACAGCGTAGAGGTAAATTGTAGAATATATGTAAGTTTTTTGTATAATGTAAGTTTTTTTTAATATATATTAGTATAATTTTTAATTAAATTTTAAATGTTTGTACCCTCTAAACTAGAGTCCAGGCTCTACCATTATATATATGGAAGGAGGCAGTTGTACCCCCGAAAATAAATGTTTGGGTGGCGTCCACGTGCCCTCCACGCGGGAACACAACATTAGCAACTACCCACATCCGAAAGATCAGGTCACTCACCTTCTAGAGATCATGAGGCAGTTGACCCAGGGCGAAGACCACGTGCTGGTCTTCTCTACGCCATGTAAGCCCTGACAGTTGCTCGTGTTGGGCCTTGAGATCCAACCCAATGCAAAGTAACCGTTGGTCCAGCGCCGAGGGCACATATAAATACCCTCTTTCATTAGAGGGTCAGATATTCCATTTTATACACCTAATCTCTATGTACTCACTCTTTCTAAACTCCGCTACTCACTTAGGCATCAGAGTACCTTAAAAGTACACCGCCTCTTCTTCTTCAACAATGATGAACCCAAGAGCTCACGACACGTGGCAAAATGTTGATTCCTTTCTAATCAGGTAAGATCAATGGCGCCGTCTGTGAGAACCGTTTGCTCCCTCGTTCTTTCTCTTATACAAGTGTAGAAGCTTAAGAACCAAAGCAACATCCAACTTTCGTTTGATCATGGCCAGCACAGGCAATAACAACACTCCAGAAACCATATTCGTCGCCCTCGCTTGGAGCGGCCTTAGCCAATGGCCTTCCGAAAATGCGACTGGTCACCTCCCCAGAAGGAGCGACACTCCCTCACTCAGAAGAGGAACAAAGCTGAGGGAGGCATCGAAAAGCCAAAAACCCGACCGAGGAGTCCTCTTCGACGGAACAGAAATACTCAGGTCGACCTTTCCCCTTCTCGGTCACCTGTCAGGAGCGACGAGGACGACCAGCGCTCACCACTATCCAGGGCTATCAGAGAGACTCCATTGCCCATCGGGGTGGAAAAGTCCCCGCCCTTGGCAACTTATGATGGTATGATCGACCCGGACGACCATATCGAAAGCATCGATGTGATGCTCGACTATCGGAACGTCTAGGGAGCCATCAAGTGTAGGATTTTCTCCACTACCCTAAGGAATAATGTTATGACGTGGTACAAGTGCCTTACGCCCGAATCCATCACCTCCTTGGACGAACTGAAGAGGCAGTTCTCTAGACACTTAACATTTAAATATAAAATTTCTTAATTTTATATTATTTTCGTTTCAATGTGCAAGTACACATTTTTTTGACAAATTTCAAATTTTCATAATCATCATCCTTTTGAACCTAAGGTGAAGATCAAATGAAATTTTTTATTACATACCCATATGCAATATATTCTCAATGATTTTTCTTGTATATGTTTGTGATATAAAATTAACAAAATTTACATAAAGAAATTAATTTACCATGCTAAAAGACATGAGATTATGTAAGGAACATCAACCTTGGACCAATACTTTCACTACAAAAAAAATAGGAAAATTATGGTTGTTAAAAATGTGTTATTACATCGGTTTCAATGGCCGTAATTTTCAAAAATGTTGTAATTTGCAATCTATCCTAGAGATTGTTTTCACACTTTTTTAAGTTTTATTTTTTTCAATGCAAATTCATTCATGATCAATGTTTGTCTCTTACAAGGTAGTACCGAAGATATATAGTTGTGGTATTAACATTCTGATTGACTATTGTGAGGATTTCACGAGGATCACTGTTGTTTTTTGTCGAATGACGTGTTAACAAAGTCTTGAACGTTGACACTTTATAAATGAACGACACATATTTGCTTATAATGAAAATTGAGTTACTTTTTCCCTCAGATATTTATGAACACCAAGGTAATAAGTTATTTATTTTTGTATTGCAATATCTTCTTAGTATGGTTAGGAATTTATTTCTGGACATTGTCGGATAAAGAAAGAATTAAATCATTAAATTTTTGCATTAGATGAAAATATTGAGAAATTATTCATAAATATAAAAATTGATTGCAAGAGGTGGTATCAACAACAACAACATCATTTTATGAGATAGATTATAAGAGTAGAAAAATATTTTGTTCATTGTTGGTAAAATTAGTTTCTTTTAATGCATGATGTAAAAACAACAACAACGACAACATTCTATGTGATAGATTGCAAGAGTACAAAAATGTTTTGTTCATTGTTGGTAAAAATTAATTTCTTCAATACATGAATGTAACAACAACAACAACAATAACACCAACAACAACACAACCTTGAAAGATTTTCTAATAATTAAAAAACCTTAAAATATTTTTCTGTCTTGTAATTTATCTCAAATAATGATATTTATGAGTTTGAAGCTAAAACATATGAATTAGATTAGGAAAAATTTGAATGAACAAATAGTTTTCTACACAAAATTGGGCAATCCTTCCACTCATTTGGTAGTTTAATCAAAGAAATATATGACTTAATATTTAAATGAAAAATAAGAATGACATTATTATAAAAGAAATAAAAATATAAACTAAGGTTGTTGTGATTTAAAGTGTGTTTTTTAGTTGGTTTTTCTTTCAGTTATGTGTATCAACAGTAGAAATATATTGTGAGATGTTGGATCGAACTCTAGTATAGTCGAAGTCTGTTCGCGAGTAATGCGTGTTGTAGTCGAAGTTTGTGTCTAACATGCATTAGTCAATATTACTAGGGTTGTTAGCATGTTGAATTGAGCCTTACTTGTAAGTCCAATTGTTTAAGTTAGCTTGTAATGAGTAATTGTTAAAAAGCCCATTAGGTTAGCGTGTTATTTTTCTTATAAATAGGATACTAGTTTCTCAATCTTGAGAGAAGGAAAAATAGGAAGATAAAATCCTAATTTCAAGAGAGAGAGGTTATTTTATTATTCTTGTATACTTGTAATCTTGTTTTAAGAGAAAGGAAAGAATAACAGTTTAATAACCGATCCTTGTTGTTTACTTCTTTATTAACCCTAACTCTTGTGTGTTTCTTGATCAATAAGAAATTGTTTATACTTGGTTTTAAGGTATCAGATTCACAACAAATTGGTGCGGTGAGCATGGAGAAGATGCCTTCAATAAGGTATGAGATTGAAAAGTTCACCAGAGTGAAAAAATCTCTTTGTGGCGCTTGAAGATGAAAACCCTATTGGTTCAGCAGGGTTGTTTGGAAGCATTGAAGGGTGAGGCAGCCATGGACGATGCATTAACG